AAATATTATAATGCAAATTTGCAAAAAAACAGCATATGCATCAAAATAAACTATTTCCAGCAGTGCAATATGAGTCCTAAGCATCCCAGAAACGATTCGGGGTCATCTGATCCACCCCAACTATAAACTTTCATCAAAAGGAAATGTTTAAGCCTAATCTTCAAAGTACAGGTTGCCTCTCTCAACCTGGAACTGGTTCCACCGCACAGAGGCTCGATAACTTAAGGCTCTGCCTTCTATTGTACTTTTAGTAATTCTGGGAACCACAAGCTTGCACTCAGAGCACATACTTCTAGAAAGACTATTATTCATTAACTGCCCTGTGATGCATTTTAGTGATAAATACAAGAATAAAACACACTGTCATACTGTTTTAGCTGACTCAGAAGAGCAGCTATACAGTTAGTGTGAGAAACCAATTAAGTTTAACATATGCTCCAATGTCTCAGTCCCTGAATTCTTACCTCGCTCTCAAATACTAGCACGTCAAATCCTGTGTTGAAGTAGATGTCACAGTACTTAACCAGCGCTTGAGGACGTGAACCCAACCACGGTAACATCAGCAACAGAGGTTTGTGACGTTGTGAGGTCTGGTTCTGGCATCCAGGGACTGCAAATGTTGCTTCATTCATGAAGAACGTGGCATTCTTACTTAAGCGGTGGGCAGTAACGCCTCTGCTAAGAGCTACACGTGCAAACATGTCAGCAATTGTAGGGTTTTCGTTTAAGAGAGAGAAGAGTATTCAAAAACCCAAGGCTACCTGGATAAAACAGAAAGACACATGCATGAATTTGGAATAATAAAAAACAGAGAACTAGGCAGGTAGACACAGAAACCACAAAATAGGGAAAAACAAAGAAATACAAAGATCAAGCATAACTAAGAATGACAGAAATCAAAGCAATCATTTATAACCAATTCTGGTCCTATGGAAGTGTCCCTCCAGGGGGGCATGGACCCCTTAATGATCCTCTATCTAATCACACGAGCCAAGGTGTGTAGGTCACAATCAGCCAAGGTTTCAGGTGAACTCACTGTGAAACCCAGCCCCAACCTATGATGTGATTTAGTGAGGTCAAGAAGACAGATGGTTTGAAAGAGGAGTGAAAGAAGCCATGTCCACTGTGAACGATCATCTTTGAACAGAGGCGGTGGTTTATGACACCAACCGTCTGCCATCTATAATCCAGTTTTGAGATCCTTGCCCAGACGCCTTAACGCCCACGCACATCCTGGGCCTGTTGACCTCAGGAAATCACATGATGA